AGTTAGTGTGCTATTTTAATGAGGTCTAATTCATAAGGATCTGCAAAGGCTGGATTGTCAAAATAGATCTTCCCAGATGCTTATAAGCAACTTGTTGCCTGGGCAGCCACTCAGATCTCCCAACCCAAACTACATGGCAGTGCCCATGTCTCTGGACCTGTGCTCTCATGGAGGCCAGAGACCCTAACCACAGTTAGTGGGAGTTCAGGACCTTCAGATCAGCCTGGTTAAGTGCCGTGCCTAATCAGAGATCTTCTGTAATTGGGACTTACCCCTTGGGACCTGGAGTAAGGTACACCACCCCAGACATACAGCACCCCCATGTGTAGGCACCCCCTCACTCCTACCCAATTACAGCGGCCAGCTCCAACCTCAGCTCCCTGGACTCCGCCTCCAGGTGCAGCCAAGGGAGACAGAGTTAGCCAAGCACCTCCCCAGCCATTTTCTCTCATAGTTGAAGCCAGAGCCAGAAGCTCATCACCCTCCCATGGTCCAAGCCAGCCTAGGTTCCCACACTAGGCCAGGCCCACACGGGTGCACATGCAACACACAGACAGCACAGCGCTGGGTGGAAAATGCTCCAGCAGCCGCTCCCGCTCTAATAAGGTTGTCTGAACCCAGAAAAGCAAAAGACAAGCTGAGGGGCAAAAGGAAAGAAAGAAAGAGAAAAAAAAAAAGCAAAACAAAACAACAAGTATGATGGTTTTGCCCTCATTGTAAGACAGGTCAGCCAAGACATACCTTTGGACTAGGACTGCACGCTGCTCGTCCTTGGGGCTGCTGACAAGGTGGGTGGTCTTCTCCGGCACCCCAGGGGCCTTGAGCAAATATGGCTTTGGTTTATTTCAGGAGGTGCTATTGGAAACATAAAACAAAGTGCCTGGAGGGCACTATAAAAAATATAGAAGAAAAAACACAGGAGACTTGATCATCCAAATGGGAATTTATGTTTGTAAACAGGGGCGAGGGGGAGGGAAATATACTGTGAGGCATCATTGTTTCTTCCACGAGCGTGGCCTCAGGTGGCTTTGTCACTGCTGAGTCCATGACTTTCCGCTTGTATTCCACTCCTGCCTTTGGAAATTGCTCTTTGCCGGGAGGAAAGTGAGGGTAAACCAGCAACAACAGAAAGGAGGCTGTGCTGACGGAGGAGGAGCCCAGGAGGCACGGCTGGCGGGCCCCAGGTGCTGCAGGGAGGCCACACGCCCGTGGCCCTACTGCTCAGGAACTGCTGACATTTTCTTGCAAGCAAGGAAGATGGAAAGGTCAGGGAGAAGTGGGGAGGGGGCCTGCCATGCGGAGCCATGACTCCACGGGGTACAGAAAGTGCAATCATCTCCCATTGAGGAAATCCTCCCGACCGGGTCTTGAATCAATCCTCCCCCCAGCTTTCTTCCAAACAGATTATTACTTCAATTTCTTTGATTTCCCTTCTCTCGCTCTCAGAATAACAGATCCATTCCTAATAATAGCTAGAATATATAAATAATAATTTTTTAATGTTGTTGGTTCACTGTTTCCAAACCCAAAGTTCCACCTCTCTTCATTTTGCCCATAAATAGGAAAACTGAGGAAGTCAACTCTGCTCATGTCAAAAAGATGCCCTCCCCCCAAAAAAGAGCTACTCTGCCTAACTTGCCATCTCTATGGAAAATAAATAGTGCATCACGATGCCATCTCTCTGAAGGGCTGCAATTCTGCTCTCTTGTCCTGCTTTGTTTCAGCAGCTTGTGCTTCTGTTGTACGTACCCAAAAGAGAGGGGAAGGGGGGAGGGATGCTTGGATGGTGGAAGGAAAAAGCAAGGACGAAGGGAAAACCTAAGGTGGTCTTTCATTAAAAAAAAAATACATCAGAACCAGAATAATAACCAAAGTCAGAGGGTGATGGCTAATTGCCCAGAGAGTCTGTTCCGTGGGTTTAGCAAGTGCCCTTTTTATCTGTTGTGGGTGAACCCCGGCCACTGCGGCGTCCTCGGCAGGAGCGAGGCTCTTCCAAATCGTCCTCATCAAAGCCATGGAAAGTTGAGGTGTCACTTTCCGACGTGGAACCGAATAAGTCCTCCGTGGTGCGTGCTGCGGCCGCTGCCTCCTTCTCCTTCCTGCCTTCTCCTCCCAAATGAGCTGACATGTATGATGAATATATCAGCACATGGGTTAAGCAACAGACAGCATTATTAATATTCTTATTACATTATTACAGTGTTATTAATAATAGTAACATCATGAACCATTTCACACCACAAGGGATTGATTGAGTACATCACCTGCCGAGAGGGATTTGGTGTAACAGGACAATGCCAGCATTTCCAGGGAAAAGGATTCCTCCCTCTCTGAAAAGGCATCATCTCTACCATAATGGACACGTCCACAGCTCTGACAGTGCAAGATTCAACCTCGATCTTTCCTTCTTCTCTTCCGAATGCACACATACACATGCACGCTCACTCAACCCCGCCCCAGAGAGTGAGTTTCCTGGTGGTTTTTAAGCCTGGTTGGTATTGCTTTGGTGTTTTCAGTTGGTGTTTCTTTTAACAATGTTTGTCCTTCACTTTGACAGTCAGTTTTACAACGGTATTACTGTCAGATACCCCGTTCAAAGTGGTTAAGCCTCCATCCATTTTATTTTTATTTTTACCCATTTCTAATCCCATTCTTTCAGGACCCTTTCAATTCTGCGATTACACCATGGAGTTCACCTGCACTGAAAGTGAGAAGAAGTTGGAAAGTCTGAGAAGTGGCAGGGTAATAAAAGAGTCTTTTGTGTTCTTTAACCACTGGAGGAAGTTTCTGTGATCTGCACCCATGAACATGCACATGCACATATCCACATGTGTGCACATGCATCCAGCTGCTAAACATGCCCAGGTCTCAGTTACTCAAGAAAGTCCAGAGTTGTCAAATCTAACTCAAAGCACTAGAAAGTGGGAAATAGGGTTTTAAAAAACCTAATAAAATGCAGTATTCTGAAATCTATAAAACTCACATTTAAATTTTTTACCTTCTAAATGGGCCCCAGGACTGCCCCCAAAGGAGGTCACAATATACCACTTCTGGTGCCAATTTCAGGGATTTCACTCTCTCCCCAGGATACAGAGGCAGTGGGGAAGGGAAAAACAACTCTTCCAAGCACCACACTCTTCCTTGGAAAGACACCAGGGAGGCCTTAGAGAAGAATTCGCCCACCTGCCTTAACAAGCATGTCCCATGGGCTACTGCCACCTGTTTATTCCCAAGGTATCAACTATTTCGGGAACATCAGAGTCAGACCTTGACTAAATAACCACCAAAATTAATCCTTGGCAAAGGCAATGGGAACAGCTAGGTTGGTCACATAGCAGACAGATCCTGGGAAGAAAAAGCTGAGTAAAGACCGTGAAGAGAGAGGCTTTGGCAAGAAAATACCAACTGCCCACTTCTGGTCCCCCATGGATCAGATTCAAGTACCCCATCTTTTGTAGGAAAGGAAGGAGGGAAATTACAGCAGTTTGCAATGCGAATTCCAAAGCTGCCCTCCTTAGCGCACCCCAAACCCACAAACCCACAGCCATCAATACATTCTGCCTAGAATATCACACCACCAGGTGATTTCGCTTCTGGCAGTAGAAATTTTGTCTGATCGCTCACTTTTAAAAAACATTGAATTGAATTCCATTTGTTTTCACTTACTTTAAGTACTTCTGAAATAATTTGTTTTCTCTTAAATATCTAAAACTCAAGAGTCTACTATCACACGGACCCTCTCTTCTAAGCTAGCACCAGCAGAGTAAAAAGTTCAATAATAAGTATCATATTTGGAAAATAAATGAGCTGACAGTATTGCACAGACAGGCCACCCCATCAGGTCCTTAAGAGTTAAACGTTGAGGGTTATGTGCAATGAAAACCACAGTCCTTTTCCAAGTACTTATTTGCTATTCAAGTCAGTCTTGAACCCTAAGCAACCCCAAAACCAAATACAAAATGATGGAAGTTAAGGTTTGTAGACAAAGCAAGGGGAGAACTGAGTTGCTACAGCAAACCCAGGTGTGGCCACCTCAGTCCTTCTCTTGGGACTGGGAGTAGAAGAGACACTGGGTAGAAATGTGGAGAACAGCACCTCCCCTCAGTGCTGCAACCGACACCCAACGGAACCATATTTCACCACCTAGTCAGCTCATGAATCTGGAATCTTCCCTCTTCTCTGCCTTGCCCTTTGACCTAGCTATCACATAAAACAATATGAAAAATAGGTAACACTGACCAACCACAACCAGCCAAAAATAAATGGTTTGGTTAAAACTGAAAAAGCAAAGCAGTGTGAGCACAACTTGAAGATCTGAACTCATTTTAAGAATGAAAGAACAAGACCAAAACAAGACCTTTTTTCTGTCATTTCAGTCTTTAGAGAGGTTAAAGATGAAAATGTACAACATGCCAAGTCAATTCCAGATGGGCTCTAAGAACACCTGCCCTTTTGCCTCCTTGATCTCTCAAGTCTCTTCCATCTGTTCCATATGAGAAAATGGGATGAGTGGCCATGGAGGTGGTATTTATGCAGCTACCCGGGCGCCCAAGGGTCTCTGACTCCCACCGTTCAAGCTGGGGCTGCTCTCCCTGTATTCATGTTTCCGTACTCTTCCATGTCGCCCCAAGCACTTCCATAGAACAAATGTACCTTTGTGTTACATGCGCATCACTGGATATAAGGAAGCACGCTGCCTGTGTGTCCAGGTGCTGCCACCCTATCTCACTGGCGTCCATAACAACAGACACAAAGAAATATCCACCTCATGGAGAGGCTAGAAATAAGCCAAAAATTTCTCCTTTTCTTTTTCCCTGGATCCCAGAGCATAAATTTTAGTTCTTCACACTCAGAGAAGTAAAAGATCAAAGGATCTGAAAACTCTTCTCAACTCAAAATCATCACCACCTGACCCTTAACCCCAACACAAGATGGCAGAGAAATGCAAGTGGAGTAACTCCTGGTCTACAAGCGCAGATGCAAAAAGGGGCCACACTCACCAGAACGTCCGCAGTCTGCACAGGACACCAGCTCTTCGGGCCGCCCGCTCTTCTTGTTCATGTTAGAGCCTCCCAAGCAGAAGTCACAGTAGTTATTGGGGATAACTGTCCCATCCGGTCCTTTCTGGGCTGTAGGAACATTTTTTAAAAACCCAATTTTAGGCTGAGATGAGTTTTCACAGTGTGGCAGAATCTGCTCCAGAAAGAATATGAGGTCTAGAATCTGTGGTTTTGTTACAACCAAGTGTCTTAATTAGGCCAAATATTCTTTTTGATCCTTTTCTGTTCAGTAGCATTAATGCCTCGTAAGCCACCCAGAGCTTAGTTTAGTTTTTGCAGTATTCCCCACCTCTGTGTTTCTATAGAAACCACCATGCTTCTCTGGCAGCCTCCCCAGATGAGCAAGGCATCCAGAAGGTCTACTAGTCCGGGGAACTTCCCTCATGCCTGCCCAACCAGCCCAGCCCTTGGGACCAAGGCTCCAAACAGCAGGTGGCAACTACAAACAGTGGTGTGACTAGAGAGAAAGAAGTGGTCAATGCCTAGGTCTTGCCCTGGGAAAGATGCTCTTGTCTACCTGTCCCTGAAAAGGAAAACACAGAAGCACTGATGGGTGGCCAGTCTCAGAAGGACACTGCAGATGCCCCTGGGGACTCTGAGCACACAGGTGTCCACTCTTATTCAGCCTCATCTCCCTGAAGTCCAGACTTGCTGGTGATGAAGGCAGCCAGGACTAGGTAATCAGCAGACGCCAAGTGCCTAATCAGAACTGGACACTTTAGTACTGCCAGAGACACCAGAGGTGGTTTAATGGTTGAGTTAGTGAGCATGTCTTGAGGCTTAAGGCCTTCATAAGCCACCCATAAAGTCTCTATACTTTATACTATACACCCATGGAAGTCTTTAAACACAGGCAAAGGAAAATCTTGGGACATGATCTAAAAACAAATCCTTGTGAGAACAGCCTATGTCCTCAAGCACGAAAATCACCCTCAGTTCCTAGGGACTGGCTGAAAGCCTTGGACAGGTTCTTTGTATGGGGAGAAATGTCTCAATTTTCTGTCTTTCAATCCTTACTGTGGACATTTCTTCGTCACATTAACACTCCCTACTGTGACTAAGAAGAAAAGTTTGTTTATGGGATCAGCCAGAACCACCCAGGTATCTTTCTTCTCATTTTACCCAATATCTGTGGCTATCTTTCATTATTCACTGGCTAACACTAATCACGGTCCCATAGGGTACAAATCTGTAAAAGGAAGCAGATGTGTGAGCAGAAATACCATCCAGACAGTAATTGATAAATGGATTCACCCATTTTAATATAATTCCCTCTGGCCTTCACTTCCTCCATGCCTCTGCTTTGCCTCCAGGAATAGAAAACGTTACCTGGAGAAGGCAGAAGATAAAAGCTTGCAGAATTACATTAGAGAGGGTTAAGGCATTTATAAGTTACTATTTGGATTGTTTAATCAGTTTCTAAGGCATTGATTTTCATCTTCAGAGAGGCAGACATCTCTCTGCAAAAAAAGTGTTGTCTGTTAGGGCACACAGAGGAGCTGGCCACACCCTGTGGTCTGTTGAGGGTGGGTTTTTCTTCATCAGTCACTGCATCTCAAAGACATCTATCTGCATGTCAAACAATGGTTTTGCAACTGACCTCCAAAAGCCAATACATCTGCAAAAATTTCACTCTGCCTATAAAATTTTCATTGCCCAAATCCAGAAGGCAGTCTCCTTCCTCCTTCTTTCTCAATTGCCATGTTCACCATTTTTGGAAAGCTCTTAAGAAAATCCAGGCATGTCTATGAAGCAGATAAACTCAGGGTTTCCTCATTAAGCAACTATCACGGAAAACAATCAAAAGATAAACAGAAAGAAGTAGTGTATATTAAATTCAGGGGCTGAGTGTAAGCCAAAACTAAGTTTCATGACTGACTGAACAAGACATAAAATGTGGAGATGCCAATCACAGCTTAGGTAGCTTTCTGCATGGAAAGCTGTTCACTTAGGGACTTCCTATTAGGTCAGATTTTCTCTCCTTTCACAAATCCTTATGCAACCAAAGAATCTGGTGTCCTCCAACACACACTGCATCCCTTGTGATTTATGAGTATGAAGTAGATCTAGAGCATAAGAACTTCCAGGTAACCCTTTACAGTTTTTACCACCAACAGACCATTGGTAGTGTGCCAATCATGGAATCAGGGATTCCAATACTGCAAAACAGAAAATTTAGAAATGATCTAGTAGAGCAAAGCAGACAGTGATGGAGAAATTGATCCCACGTAAAAAAAACCAAAGAAGCAGAATGTTCATCTAATGAAGAGACAGTTCTGAGGAGACTGAATCAAAGCAGGCTCCCCACATACATTAATGTTCATTGTTGCCCGTAATAAGCACTCAGCCAAGGGGGTGAAGAAGGTGCTAACATCCCAGTTATAGGCCCTGGTGTGTGCGGCTGTGACATGGTGTGGGGGTGGGAAGTACCTTTATAGTCTAGCAATGACCCAGTGCAAAAAGTGACAGTAAACAGTTATGCTTTTTTGGCAGCAAAATCCTTTTTCCTTTAGTTCCTACTCTTTCCTCACAATGCGAGCTCAAAGCTTCCTTCCATTTGGTAAAAAGGAGTGAGACAGTCTAATCAATAGCTTTTGTGTCTGGTTCTCTTATATTTTTTGGTAGTTAGGATTGGTTTCAGGGCGAGGGTGAGAGTCAATTCCCCAGCCAGAAATGGCCAGGCCTTGGGGAGAACAGTCTGTTGACATCACGCTTATGACCCATCTCTTGTCTATACATGTATATACCCGCCTCCACTCCCCATATGAGGCGGTCTATTCCTTCAGGCTGGGGACCATGTGTAACTCATCACTGAAACACCTTCATGCCCTGCACACAGGAAATGGTTAACAGCAGCATGTGGGAAGAATGGCACAGAAAAGCATGGCAGAGATGTGAGTAGACAGCCCAGTGACTCCGCTGGGACCTCCCCCTGGGGGAACAGAGCACTGTATTTGCTTCCCCTGTGACAGAGTCGTCCATTGCTCCAACTATTGTGCACTGCCTGTTTTGTTTCCTCAGCTGTCAAGAGAGAAGAGCTGGTCCATGTCCAAACGGGTCGGCCAGTCATCTGGCCTGGTACCACGTCTGGCTGCCACAGTGCACAAGAGTGGGTGGCTGAGGGCCCTGGACTGCTGGAATAACACTGCCCCCCACCGTGGTAGGTGAGGCAGCGTCCTGTACGCAAACATGCATGGAAAGCATAAGACTATGATTCCTCGTATCTTGAGTGGGACACCAGATTGCTCCTACCAGCTTCCCTCTTACTCAACTACTTTTTGAAAAGAAAAAGACACAGACATTTATTTCACTACAAAACTGAAATGGATCTAACACTGGATGCTTTACATATGTTATTTCATTGATTCTCACAAAGTAGGGATTATCTGATGCATGAAGTAACTGAAACCCAAAGAGATGAAGAGGCTGGTTCCGGGCCCCAGTTACAAAGAAGAGCGGGATTCACCCCAGGGTTGCCTGCGTCTCAGAGACTCGCAGCCGATAATCACATCTCTCCGCCCACTGGAAAGTCCAGAGCAAACACTTTCTGGACATACCTTGCATACAAAATATTTCATAAATCTCCTTGGAGTCAACTTGATTCACCCAACACATTATTTGAAAGCCCAAAGAGATAAAATTATTGAGATTGACCTGATAAAAGCAGAAATTCCCTTTGAACTTAAATTTAATGTCCCAAACACAGTAATCCATCCCGGGTAATCCCGTTTATTGTCATATACTCTGTGAAAACACTCCACCAGAGAATTCCAGAGGCTCATGAAGGAATTTTTTTTAAGTAAAGCTTATATATGGCTATCCTGGCCTATGGCCTGACCTAGCCATGAGCAATTTCCTGGTACCATGTATGAGATCATTACAAAAAGGATTTTACTATAAATAGGAAGCTTGCCCAGACCTTGCAAGTAGGATTTAAATAGAGGTTCTGCTTCTGCTTATGGGAAATTGAGTCCCACTTTACAGAACCAGATGACGGGAGGGCAAAGACCCAAGCAGCATCTCGATGGCAGTGTCCATGATGATGGATTTTGTTTTCTGTTGATTAATGCTCATGGGCTGAGATCATGTAAGAGATATAAGGAAGCTGCCGAGAAAATGAAATGGGCCTTAAGAGTTTAGGAACTTACCTGGGGGAGATAACTAAAAAGTTCAAAGGAAAAAAAAAATGGAAATCAGGAACAAAGTTTACGAAGAAAAGCAAAAATGAATAAATGAGTAACAGAATGTGGAAGGGAGCATTCAAATAAACCAAGAGGAAAAGCCAAGATCCAATTGTCTCACTCAGGAAAGGGTGAGCAGTCATTCTCAAAAGGTATTAGTTTACTATATGAGATTTTTTTTCCTTCCGTCAAGCCCAGTTGTATGCAAACAAGTCCCCAAACCTTCCATAAGCTACCACCCACACAGGGCCATCTTTCTCCCTTTCAGCCTGATCTCCGCTGCAGTATGTCTGCCACTCATGTAAAGAATAAGTGGCAGGAACAGCCTGACCATGAGCAACAGTCCCTCATCTGGTTCTGCCAAGACCAGAGCTGTCACCCAGTGTCCCAGGGAAACAGGAAGCCAGCCAGAAGCTTAGGCTCCTCCATGGCACATCCACAGAAGTGTAACTTCACATCCTGAGCAGATGCTGAGACCGCCTGCCAGGGCCTGGTGTGCACAAGCACGCGGCCATCTCCACGCCCACCCCCGGCCCCAGCCCCACAGCTGGGTTTCCAGGGCCTGCTCGTCAGGGTGGGCAGCCCTCAGGGAGCTTGCGAGCAATGAGAAGAGCCCTCAGGAGGAGCAGGGCCTCTCCTGGCCCCTCTCCCTCACTCCCCCACCACCCTCCACGGCTGACAGTTCTTGTCCCTCCACAGGTCTGACCTGTTTCTATGGCAACGAGAATCCTGGCTCCGGCAGCCTCTGGTCTTGCCACCTGTTATTACTTCATCTCTCAAGTGTAAAGCATCCTAGCCTGGTGCCACTTGGCTGTGCAGAGCGCATCTTCAGAGGATGGAGTAAGGAAAAGGCAAGAGGAAAAGAGGGAAAGCAGGAAGGCGGCCCAG